AGCCATTCTCAATACCACCTAGCATTCCTTTGAAATATATGTGACGTCGAGTCTGTGGAAGTATTATCAGTTAATAACTAAAGTATTAGTTCGGGTATCAAAGTGGATGGATTGTTCATTGCTGAGATCCAACGAAGATATGACTCTCCTTCTCGCATCAACGGAGTCAGCTAATAGAATTGTAGTGGGATGATGACAAGAAAGGACTGACAGAAAATGTGGGGGAGAGTGCGTAGATCATCTTGACGGGGTTACTACGTAATTGAATCGCTGCAATGATTGGTTCGCAGATTGATGACTAATCGAGCTCTTATCGATAACAAGCTAACCCCACAAATTCTTTTTTCAAAAAAAGTTGAAGCAAGACGAGAGAAATCACTTTTAGTCTTGTTAGTGTAATAATCCTTGATTACTATAAATTTCCAGAGATACCCCCGCCAAAGACCTTTCCTCTTTTCTTATCTACATCCTCTCTATCAGAAATTGCGAAGAAACAATTCTTTTTTTAAACCCTCTGGAAACACACCATCAATCGAACTCCAAACCTCCTCGATCATGTCGACCCAACTTCCACCCCCAAGCAAAAGGCAGAGAACGGATGCTTTAGAGAGATCGAGAGCGCAACAAGATATTGAGGAAATACCCAGTGATGCAGGAAGTCTTCGAATCCAGTTCTTCGATGAAACTACAGGTCTTCCTATCGGCAATGGCCCAGTTCTCGTGCCAGTCGCAAACGCAGACCCAAAGAATCTAGAGCTGTTGTTGAATACTCTTTTGGGACATGTAAGTTTACTATTTTTTAAACTTACTATGGAAACTCTGAGCCTATTGTCGCTTCAATATGTTACAGGCAATCAAAATGCTGCCATTGTTGAATTAGATTATGGACATTGAAACCCTACAATTGCTCGGAACTATTCTGAAGATTGAAAGCTTCTGATTGTTTACAAATACAGTGAAGATTGAAAGCTTCTGATTGTTTACAAACATCCTGAAGATTGAAAGTTTTTGATTGTTCATATAAATTATAAACATCGAAAGCTCACGATTGTTTACAATTGTTTTGAATATTTAGAGCTAACAATTGTCCCAGGACTCTTCAGAGTATATTCCATACAGATTTACCCTACCCGTAACAGACAAGAAGTCCGCAGAGAAGATCACAACCGCCTATCCTACAGAAGTCTACAAAACCTTGATAAAACCGGGTCTAATAAGTGCCGAAGAAACCCAAAATATTTCAGCAGCACCACAAGCAGTGTTCAAAGTCCAGTCAGTTTCGAGATGCGCTTCTACAATCCCCGGCCATGGGGAATCTATACTAGTTGCCCAATTTTCTCCAAGGTCATCCTCCAGAATGGTCAGTGGCAGCGGAGACAACACGGCACGTATATGGGACTGTGATACAGGAACTCCAGTACACACGTTAAAGGGGCACACAAGTTGGGTATTGGCTGTCAGTTGGTCGCCGGATGAGTCGAGGATTGCGACAGGTAGTATGGACAACACTGTCAGGATATGGGATCCTAAAACCGGAAAGCAATTAGGCAGTCCAATGAAGGGGCACTCGAAATGGGTCACAAATCTTGCTTGGGAGCCGTATCACGTTCAAAAACCAGGAGAACCTAGACTCGCTTCATCCTCTAAAGATTCTACTGTCAGAGTATGGTCGACTAATCAACAGAGGATTGAATTGGTCTTAACTGGACACAAAGACGCAGTATCATGTGTCAAATGGGGAGGAACTGGATTCATATATACCGCATCTCGCGATAAAACTGTCAAAGTTTGGAATGCAAAGGACGGAACTCTCGCACACTCCCTTAATGCTCATGCGCACTGGGTCAACCATCTCGCACTATCTACAGAGTTTGTCACGCGAACCGGCTACTTCGACCACACCGGCAAGATCCCTGCAACAGAGGAGGAAAAGGTCAAGAAAGCAGAGGAACGTTTCCTCAAAGCCTCCCGAATTCAGGGCGAAGTCGTGGAACGCCTTGTCACAGCCAGTGACGATTTTACCATGTATCTCTGGGAACCTTCCAAGCAAACGAAACCCATAGCACGAATGTTAGGTCATCAAAAACAAGTGAACCACGTAGCTTTCTCGCCCGACGGACTACTCATTGCCTCCTCTGGTTTCGACAACCATACTAAGGTCTGGAACGCCCGGGATGGAAAGTTCATCAATACATTGAGAGGTCATGTTGCTCCTGTCTACCAATGTGCTTTTAGCTCTGATTCTAGGCTATTGGTCACATGTAGTAAAGATACAACGCTGAAAGTATGGGATATGGCAACTCACAAGTTAGCTAAAGGTATGTTTACATCACAATGTTCCAATTTAAGTTCGACTTTCAAATGTACAAAAAGGCTGACACCATGATCATAGATTTACCTGGCCATAAAGACGAAGTTTATGCCGTAGACTGGAGCCCGGATGGAGAAAAAGTGGGCAGTGGTGGAGCAGACAAGGCAGTGCGCATTTGGAGACATTAAAAAAGATATGTAGTAAGGTTAATACAAATATAATTGTTGCCCTGGGAGCTCATTCGATTGTCAAATTCGAATTGGGACATTAAGAACATTGAAAACATTGAGGCTCAAGATGGTGGCTGGAGTTTGTGGAGACTAATTTTTCAATCGTCGAAGTCGGATCGGGACAATCAAAAGCATCTGGAAAAGTAATGGGCCATTTGATCCCCGAATGCCATTTTGATATGCCAAGTACCCATTTTTTACAACTCATGCAAGCCCATAATTCCACAGATTTTTGCTTCCTTCCGTATACATATATTACTTATTCCCTAACAAACATTCCTGCCATTCCCATTCCGGTACCGATGCACATACTGACAACACCGACCTGCTGATCTCTTCTCTTCAACTCTGCCAACAAACCTGCCACCATTCTCGCTCCAGTAGCACCCAATGGATGGCCCAATGCAATAGCTCCTCCTTTTGGGTTCACGTCGCCCTTCTCATATGCACCCATCAATCCCAGTTCCCTCACACAATAGATGGCTTGACTAGCAAATGCCTCGTTAATCTCCCACACATTGACCTCTTCCTTCTGAATGCCAGCTTGCTCCATCAACTTTGGGATTGCGAGCGCAGGTCCAATTCCCATTTCATCTGGACGACATCCAGCTATTGCAGTACCGGCCCATTTACCAATAATAGAAGAGGACAATCCAAGCGAGGTAGCAGTGCTACGACGCATCATCAATGTAGCTGCTGCACCATCAGAAATCTGCGACGAGTTACCCGCAGTCGATGCACCATCTTCCTTGAACGCAGGCTTTAGCTTCTGCATGCTCTCCAACGTAGCACCCTTTCTAATCCCATCATCTTTGGTAACAGTGACTTCCTTAGGTTCTCCTACTTTTACGCCTCCTTTTCCAGTCTCTTGCCACATCGTAGTAACCGGTACAATTTCCTCATCAAACCATCCCTTCTCCTGTGCCTCCGCCGCACGACGATGACTCTCCACCGCCAATTTATCCTGTTCTTCTCTGCCAACTCCATATCTACTCGCTACATTCTCGCTCGTGAGACCCATTGGCATAATGCAATCCTTCGTATCTCTCTCCGCATCCTTCAGCTCCGGCCACAAATCCACGGGTATAGCTTTCGAACCATAATTCCTCGTCATACTTTCCATTCCTCCTCCAACACCGATATTAATCCCGCCCGTCGCAATCGAATTTGCGATATTGGTAATGGCTTGCAATCCCGAACTGCACGCGCGGTTGGTCGTAGAGAACGAGGTGCGGGTATCGTAGCCCGCGTGGTTCATAGCCATACGACCGGCTTTCGAGCCGCCGAGCTCAGAGAGAACGACTCCGACGCATACGTCGTCAATGAGAGCGGGATCGAGAGTGGGATTGGCAGCGAGAGTGGCTTTGAGAACGCTGTGTAAGAGTTGTTCGGGATAGGCTGAGGAGAGCTGTCCTTTGTAGGAACGGGTTATGGGGGTGCGGAGGGAAGAGAGGATTACGATGTCTGAGGGGTCTTTTTTGAGGATCTGCGAGAGACCTCTGCGAAGAGGTCCGGTGGACATATTGGTTTGTGGATTGAGGGGAGATGGGGATGGAGGGGTAGTTAATTTTGACGATTTGGTGTCAATTGAACGATTTCCTGTCTCAATTAACCACGACGAGTATGTGAAATAATTTAATGATAGAAGAGGAGAATATAAATAGAAGGAAATAACAAAATCAGTAACTTACAGCAAAACTTACCCCATTCATTGATTAATATGTTTCCTGGGGAAGAGAACATCGGCATTGAAGTTCGGGGAGATGTAGTGTGTGGAGTATCCGATGTCTGGCACAGCCAATCACAAACGAGTAGCCGCTTAAAACCTTATCCGCGATTTTCCATCCTCTAAGACAACTTATACTCGAGCATCAGAGAATTGTGGTTAGTTGAAAGTCAGAAGATGTTCAAAGGCCAAGCCTGCACTGGTAACACAACAGATATTTACGATACACTAAGGCTCTATTGAAATAAGAAGATTGCATTGTCTCAGAATCTCAAACTAGGGTTCGTCTGACATTTCTGCGCTCCGCCGCAGGGGGATATCATGAATGTCGTATTTTAGGATCGATGAGAGACAAATCGAAACCGAAACGTGGTGTCTTCTTCGTCAACGGCACTGCTGGAAAAGTATCACGAAATATAATGACCTGTGTTCCAATTTGGTTCGGGGATACTGGTTATAAAATGGATAAATTCAAAGCAAAGAAAAGGGTATCATTTGCCTTGCTCCTTCAACGCCCCCATGGTATTTAAATTTAGCTGTACATGAAAAATATGAGATAAATTAGCCACCAGCATATTATCATACAATCGTGTCGCACTCTTCCCGCCCCCTCACAAATACATGAACATATGAAAAGAAAACTCCAGCAACCAGGCAAGTTTTCTCCTATCCAAAGCACGACCATAAGCGAGATCATGCCATCCCTATATTTTCGCTCCATCGCCAGCAACGACTAAGCCTCAAAGCCAATTTCTCTCCTGGAATTGAAGCCACCGGTTGGCTCACACAGATCCAACCACATGGTCCCAGTTGTCAATGGGCAGGAACGGGTAGCAGTTTGATCGGGGGTGTTGTACGCATCCTTACATAGAGCGCCTGCAGGGCACTTGAGCTTCACGCAAGTTCCTGACCCGCTGCCAGTACCAGATGGGGTAACTTTCACGTTATCATTCATGAAAGGGGTTCCAACCAGCCCAGCCCCGGAACCATCCAAATCACTGAGATCCCAGTAAAGGGAAGAGTATTGGCCAGTTGTCCACGCATATTCGAATTGAAGAACCGAAGGGGTGGTTTTCCAGTTGGATGTCTTGGCGATTTTGATTGATGTTCCGTGTCCATCGGTGTCCCATGGAAGGGTAAGAATGCTGCTAGATCCTTTGCCTGCTTTGATAATCCAAGGGCTAGCATTGGAAGCAGTAGAACAAGCTCCATTAGTACCGACATTGCAGCCTCCATTGTTTGACTTGTAGAGGTATACATCTGTGGAACACCTAAACGAACATTAGCGATGATTTGAATTATATTGAAAGTAGGCATACTGACCAGTTGTTGATGGTAAGCGCAGCAGATGCCGTTGAGGCGAGGGCAGCGAAAGCTGACAAAGCAAAGGAGTAATGCATTTTGCAAATGTATATATATTTTTTAAAACAAAAAGGAACGTGGGTAGGACTAAGCCTGAAAATAAGGAATGACGATAAGCTAAAAAGCTTTTGAAATAGTGAAAACTAGAGATGGAGAAACTTGACGATGCAAGAAAAACATTTTCGGGGTGGAGAACCTCGACAATATATAGAAATAGGATATACAATGAAGCACTTTCAGAAAACCAGCCAAAGAGGATCTTACGAACGAGTTTCGATATATGCTCGGCATGGTGGCTCAGTGTATAGGGAGGAGTGAGCAAAATTGTGCACTCCTGAAATAACGGAAGACGTGATCCTGCAAAACATATTTTTTACGATAGAGTAGCTTCCTCGACATGTTTCGCATGCCGTTGATGTAAATTTGACATTCTCGAATTTAACTGGGTATGGTTTTGCAGGATGAGGATGGCATACCTGGAAAAATCATGTTCGCTTCTTGTGATAAGTGTCTCCTTTTGGGCGGAGATGTAACGTCAGCTGACACGAAATTGGGCCAAGATCAGCTCAAGGGCTGCGCACTGTTCCTTGAAATGGGTTCCCAGTCAGATTGACGAGTATTTTGAGATTGAATTCTGTCAGACTGTCAGACTTACTTATTGGTGTCGGGATAATTATACTTTGCTGGGGTAAAGCCACTTCCGTACTTACCATGTGCAGATAAATTTTTTCTCCGATCCCTAGTAAAGTCTACGGCGTCTTGATTTAGACTCAAATACAGCTGTCATTCGAGGGGCCGAGAAAATTCAAAGGTTGACTTTGAAACTTTGAAACATTGCTTGCTTTCAACTGGAGATCAGCGAACCCGGACACAGATAGATCGTTGACACCCCAAGGATGATTAACCTTAAACACTTCTTTGGAGGAAGAAAGATAGTTGCAGCCATACGTTCCCTGTGCTCAGCGGAGATTGCCTCCCCTCAAAGATCCTGTCGTAGATTTACGTACGTGGACTGCTTTCCATGATATTATCAAGGCTGAGAAGTGCATTTAAGGTCCGTGATGGTAAAAAGTCATGCCCTGTCCCTCTTAACGATAACGATACCTGCTGCATGCCAAAATAACTTTTCCAACCACACCTTCCTTTATCAGAATGTTACGGAGTTTCAAATCATTTACCGTTGGAGATCCCCCAAATCTTTGCTCCTGATATTATCGTGGATTAAAGATACTGTGAATCGATCACTCGAAGTATATCGCCATTCATGACGATCTCCATTGTTTCCCCTGTGATACTACCATAAAAATAGCATATTCCAAGAATTTGTGAGGCCTAGCAACTCTCTGAAGGAATGACAGATGTGTTGCAGACGCTGCAGTCGGTAAAGCAAAGGTATATTTGAAGACACATTGAAGACTGGTTAGATTCCAAATCCCATGGTAGCAATGGTGCTCTAAACATGGGCGAGGCGAGATTGTGGAGTGTTATTGTACTGGTATCGATTTAAAGCCAAATGAGCAATCAATTGCCAGCGCCCACGAGACTTAGCATCGCATGAAGCCTACCCAACTAAGACTTTTGAAACATAATCATGCCTGCTATGTAAGACCATTGGAGCAATGACACTACTTAGTATCCATCTTGCTAGAAAAGGATGAATTCCTAGATCCCGGGTTCGAATGTACTCAAATAACGAACGAGATAATGGCATGCTTTGGACGCACATAGATTCGAGATGTCATTTTCAAGGAAATGCGCAATTAGTTGCATTATTTCTCGTTGCCAATAGCATGTTCAAATTCATCACTTGATGTTTTACCAAAGCAGTTCAGACATGTGAACAATTCTCCAAGCTCGCCGGCACAGATGTTTACAAACTCCACCACGCTCTTGGCAATTGATAACGGACATATCTACCATTATTCTCAGTGTGTTTATTCCACCGAGCTAATCCGTCACTGAACAGATAATTCTATCAGTGTCTGTCGACATGTGTATGTGTAATTTAGAGATTTCTAGGTGCTGTGGTGAAGATGGCTCAGAACGGTTACTCGATTTGCTAGCTTCGATCAATACACAAGCACAAGACGCTGGATCTAATGGATCGGATCTCAAGTTTAGCAAGTGGCAAGCATTAGAAGTGTGTTGTGCCTTACTTGTGCCTGGCCCACAGCTTTTGGGTGTGAGAAATGTAGCATATAGCATTACCCAAGTAGTCTAAACGTCATAGAGTGAGTGTATCGCAATTGCTCTTTAACACATTTTCCGAATACGATAATTCCGGACCCAATTGAAGCATTGGACAACCAATGACATGCTCCATTGATCCTATATCACATGATACGGTGCACTCTGCAGGTACTCAGTTGTAGCCGCGCCAGGATCTGCTTGGAGCCGCTCTTGACTATATACTCAGGTTGAGTCCGTATACACACGACGTTGACTTCCAAACAATTAATGTAATGGAATGTGACGATGATGATGTTGCTGATGGCTGTGCATGGGTTGGAATTATATAAAGAATGTAAAACTTGATTATACGATAAAAACAAGAATTCAAAGCTCAAATTCGTATATATTGAAGATATACTGTAATAAATTTACCTAGGTAATTGAATCAAAATACCAATAATTGGTCGGGACCCGGCTACAGGTTTACGGGAATAACCTCACCCGCTTTTTTCCGTTTTTTGATTTGAATAAAACAATATCTGATTGGTTAATCAGGTGAGGTAAGCGACTTTTGTCGGTATTTCGGTTCAAGAGCAGTTTCGCCTTCTCCACAACTTCTTAAATGTAATTGACAACTTTGTTTGGAATTTTGTCATGATCCTTTGACATTTCAAACAAGGGCTCTCTCTCTCTATCTTACCATTGATACATACAACATTGTAATAATACTCAACTACCTTTCGAACCTATTCACCTTATCCAATTGATCCTGATATTCCAACTCCACTCCTCCATAATGGCTTCTCTCCGCACAAGTGCCCGCAGTGCACGCACGATATTCGCCGCAGCACGACCAGCTTTCAGAACACAGATGCGAACTATGGCATCAGTCGACAGTTCAGTACCTCCAAGTCCTACCGTTTCTCCATCTCGTCCTGTGGAATCTGCTTCCAAGACTTCCACTGTCAAGGAACCTGCTGCCGACTCTGAGTCTTTGATCAAGACATTCAACATTTACAGATGGAACCCAGATGAGCCAACCAGCAAGCCCCGCATGCAATCTTATACTTTGGATCTCAACAAGACTGGACCTATGATGTTGGATGCGCTCATTAGAATTAAGAATGAGGTCGACCCTACTCTTACATTCAGAAGATCCTGCAGAGAGGGTATTTGCGGTAGTTGTGCAATGAACATTGATGGAGTAAACACATTGGCTTGTTTGTGTACGTTAATCAATCATTCGATATCGAAACACATTTGCTGACCATTTATTCTATAGGCCGCATTCCAAGAGACGCTAAGCACGAAACAAAGATCTACCCACTACCCCACACCTATGTCGTCAAGGATATTGTTCCAGATTTGACACAATTCTACAAGCAATACAAGTCCATTAAGCCATATCTTCAACACACCGACCCAGCACCAGAAGGAAAAGAATACTTACAATCTAAGGAGGATCGTAAGAAGCTTGACGGACTTTACGAATGCATTCTCTGCGCATGCTGCTCGACATCTTGCCCATCCTACTGGTGGAACAGTGAGGAATACTTGGGACCAGCTATCTTGTTGCAAAGTTACAGATGGCTTGCAGATTCCCGTGATCAGAAGAAAGAAGAACGTAAGGCAGCTTTGGATAACAGCATGAGTTTGTACAGATGTCACACCATTCTCAACTGCTCGAGGACATGTCCGAAGGGATTGAATCCTGGTTTGGCGATTGCGGAGATTAAGAAGGAAATGGCTTTTTAAGAAGTCTTTTAAATGATATCAATGTGGGGACATGATGAGATAGCATTTCAGCAATGGGTTGTGGTGTTTTGGGCGGTTATTGCTAAGTCTGTTTGTGTAGATAGGAAGTACAACATGAATTTATCAGCACAAGTTTGGTTTTCCTCTTCACAATTGTCCTCCAAGCCAAGTCATTGTCCGTGAATACAAAGTGAAATAAGAGCAAGGAAACTCTATCAAAACTACCATGGCCCTTTCTGGCATATACTGCATCCTACAAAGTTCTCCGTTGATTCAAATAACGTTTTCGGCGATCTGAATGGCAGTAACAATCAATCTTCATGGTTTTGATATCCAACATATGCGGGGTATTATGTCTTTTCAGAGAGGTTAGCTCACACTCAAAAGGTCATGATCTCTCGAATATTGCAGAGATTCAATGCTGGTTTGGATTTTTTTGATTTCAAAGTTATGTTGCTATCTCCCCAGTCAAATGAGATCCTCGCTTCAACTGGAATAACATTAAGGTGTATTGCAAACCCTTTTTTCCTATTCTTCAAGCTCCTTCATTTAGCCGCTTAACCCCTACTACCCTCTTACTTCTTTCAATAGCTGCCTCTTACCACCATCATCTTCCACCCTGTACTCCACACACAAACGATCCCAATTATCCCTCACCCTCAGCAACCCCAACGCAATCACTACATCCATACACCTTTCTTCATTCCGCTTGACTTCCGGTTCCGGAGTTCCGTCAACCGATTCTTGCGTTTCAAGTATCTCATCTGCTTTTTCATAAATCGAAGACCAGTTAAGATCTTGCTTTTCTACATAGCTATGTAGAACATTCCATAGAACGTGGACTTTTGTAATCGATACTGAATCACCATCTGTCAAGCTGTTGAGATGGAGGAGGAGAGATGTCCGCAGGTTTATCCATTGTTGGTAGGGATCAGAGGAGTGGATGATTTCGATTGCTTTGTGCTGGGATGTGGAGGGTGTTCGTTTGGATGATTCGGGTTTGAATTCGACGAGGAGTTTTGTGGATGGGTTGTTCATGGTGTGTGGAGATGGGGTTGGATTATCTGGGGTGTTCAAGCTCTGTGGCCTAGAGAAGGGAGAGGAGGGGGGGCATTGTACGTTCTTATGGTAAGAGTTTACTCTCAGTATGAAAGATCATATGATGGTTCTTTCAAAAGGTAGCAAACATAAAAGTTTACTCTCAATATCGAACTATTCTTTTAGAATAATCTGTTTGCTGCCTCAAACCAAGGAATACATCACTATTGTCGTTAATCCAAGAGTTCAATCATGCCAAAGATGTCTGCATCACAAGCATTGTTTGATTACACAGGTCATTATGTGAAACACAAGAATCGTGTAATCAGAATCTATTCAACTGTTTATTTGACTAAATGAGGAAAGGAATATAAATATATTGCCAATCACCACAAAAGAATCCCTTTCAAAGCAATTTCGCTTGCTCAGAATCCATTAATTCAACAGATAGTGCACTTGTCATATCGTTCAGCTTTCATATTGATCAAGACATTCCTCATTGCCTATATCATTCCACTGTTGTCAAGTGATTGATGATATATTCATGTGAAGAGACTGCCAACCAAGACATGCTTATTCAAACGAACCAGACTCTTGCCTGTGGTGATTAATTCTCACTTGAGACTTCTATTTATGGAATAGATGATTGAGATCGAGTATAGATATGTAAGAAGATAAATGTATCAGACACGCCAGATGTGTACCTAAGAGCTGATGGCACTAATAAATTTTCTACAAAGTTCAATCTTTCCAACAGGACACCCTTGTATGGGTAAATTCAGAAAGAGGTTTAAGCTCCTCTCCACATAACCCTCAAAACATGAACAGAGTGTGGCATGCAAAGAGCTAATCCCATCCCGCATATTCCAAGTTGACAGATATCCATCAGCCAGCTTGAAACAAAATTCAACATCAAAGACATTAATTTGCTCTATTCTTACAGACCTAAATATTAAATCTCGTATTGTTCACCTTAATCCCAAAAGTCCAAGGATATCATGCTTGTGAAAGAACGCCCGATTCCGCTTTCCGAATATGTCTAGAATAATGATCAGTAAATTTTCGCGAAAATCATGTTGATGTTACTATTGGAGAACCAAATATGACTTACACATTGGAACACTTAGCAAACAAATGCCAACCTGAATACTTGAAATAATCATAAAAGTATCGTAGACGCCATTCCTAACAAGCCACTCGTATCCACTCCATGTGAGGCCAAAACTGAAGAAGTTCTTAAATATCAAAAGGCAAGTGAATGCTTCGATAGCGATGTCCCCTATATGAATTGTCAAAATCATGCACATTAGGTTAGGGAGGGGTAAAGAGAAAAAGGTGAAACGAACTATGCGCATCAACAATATAGAGAGAACTAAACATGTTAGTTAGCCTGTTCTCCAAAATCTAAAGCGCGGCAGAACAATCTCACCTAGCCACAGCTCCAATTACCATTCCCATAACCTCCAATCCGAAGAAGAAAATCGGCCAAAACCAGCCAAAATCCACAGGTCTATTTGCCGTAATTCCAAATCCATAGAGCCCCGCGCACCCAAAGATAAACTGTGGAATTACCAACAGGATTCTAAATTCTGGCTCGTATATACCGTTGTTCTTTCTCGTCATGTATTTGGCACTCCAATCAGAAAGAACACCCGCGACAACGAAGCCAAGAATGGCGCCGACGAAAGCACCCGTGTAGGCATAACCAGTTTTTACTTCATCCCAGAAAAGAGGTGGGCCAAGAAAGATTGCCGCGAGAATGATTCCAATGAAGACAGTCCAGCCAATGAGGGCTCCTTGAATAAGACAGGCCCAAAAGATTGCTGGTTGGAAAAACAAAGGGAATGGGCGCAAACAAAGTTTCCAGAAACTTTCATTCGAGTAGCAACCACTAAATGGCATGAGAGTGCTTTTGTAATTCGATTTACCCTTTCCATATGAAATGTGCGTTCCAGGTTTATCATGTGGGGACAGACTACCATTACTATTTGCTGTGACGGTGGTTTCTGTCGTATTGGGTCCCCGGAGTACTTGTTCTAATTCATGGCCTGGCTTCAATATAAATTGTTCTATCTCGTCGGTGGATGCTAGATCGGTGTTCAAATGAAGAGGCCGTACATATGCGGTTTCGGGAACGAAAAATATCACAAGTGGAAGACAAACTCCAACGAAGATAGCGACAAAGTAGAACGACCATGGCCAACCAATTGTATGGGTAATTTTGCCAACTAAAATCGGCGTAAAGAAGCAACCACCAAACACTGCAAGGTTAGTCAAAGCCATACGTTTACCACGTTCATGAACGAAATATATGTCGCCAACGGTAGCGTTGACCAAAGCTTCAAAGGGAGCTGTTCCTATCCCTTGGAATATCCTTGCCCAAACTAGGCTTGCGTAAGATTTAGAAGCACCTCCCCAAGCACTTGAGAAAATCAAGATAACCGTTCCAAGAAGGAATTGATGTCTCTTGCCCCATATTCTAGCCGAAGGTATGTAGAAGATCCCAACAGCTCCTACGCCCATCAGATAGTATCCCGTCAGAATCGCAATCTCTGTAAATGGTAGCTCGAAATGTAGCGACAGAGTTAGGGTATTCGCAGCGAGGATAGGTCCCAGACAGGTTGCGAATATCGAAACGACTGAGAGGACAAGAAGGATAACATCGCGCTTCCATAATGGCCAATTCTAAATACCATTGAAGGAATCAGTAAGAGACATATCTTCCCGTGTTGGATAGAAGACTATACCAGTGGATCCCTGGGGTCATCACTAGGTTGCGGGACGAGAATGATAGGAACGGGACCCGATGTATCACACTTCAAGCCGGCAGATGCAGCACTTGCAACTTGGGGTCTTTCGGGGTCGTCAAAATATCGAGTGGTGCCTTGGAACAATCAGTAACAAGTAATGAGTTTCCGATCAAAAAGAAAGTAAGAATCCTACCAGGAACATGTTCCATCCTATCCTCTAGAATAAGCATCCCCATCTTTGATAGATAAGGAAGCTCTCCTGTTCATGAATGTAAATCCAGCTGCGAAACGGTTTGTACTGGTTGGATTGAGTAATAGGATAACCTTCCGTTCTACTCTCGCAATAATTTGGTATCCATTCCTGTGTACTTTGTTTGTGCTTACGGACAAGGCTGGGATTGGAAATACGATTGGTGATACGATTGTAACTTATTATTGGGGGTTCGTGGTAGATGTTTGGGGCTAGTGCTGTGGCTAAATTGGTTATCGGCTAATGAGTTCATTCGATAAGCTTAAGATAAATTGATATTATGATCAGCCAGAAAAGGGTCAGAGTGGCTCGAGAGTGCTTGCGGGGAACCTTGAACATGGAGTTGTCATCCCTACCTGGGCATAGCCAAGTTACTTTCCAGGTATTCAGGTGGACAAAGGACAAGAAAGAAAAGAGAGATTAATAAGACCTACCTAGTAGATAGGTAGATTGGTCGGTAGGTAACAAGATGGAAAGTGATTATTAACCGAAAATAGAAATAATCATACCGTTAACATTGACAATATTCATGGAATTTAGCTGTATGAACAGAAACAGCCTCGAAGAATTTAGGAGCAACTGTTGAAGGGTTTATTTGAATGAGACCTATCAATTCGATGTAAAAGCTAATGGTTTACTTACTAGTCTGTTGCATAGACTCCATATTGACCACAAATAGAAAAGACTCCCTACTATCTATTCAACTAGCAGGTAGCTATCTAATACAGATAGGGTAGTATTGATATAGAGCTCATTCAAGTCTTGTAATTACCGTCTTATCTTTTCAGCCAGCTACTTAAACTTTGCTTGAACTTTATATAAACTTTAGGGACGTATATGAGAAATACGAACATAGAGCAAGGAGATACTGGTAATTGAAACTTCAACTGTGATGACCTTCATTCCTTAATTTTCCGTTTTTCCATTCAACGATAAGAAAAGAAATCAAATAACTCGTGAAGTCTGAGTATGGCTGTGATTGTCATTTAGAGTTTGTTGTACAAAAGGGTTTTAGCAGGGGGCAGTGCCGATGCCAATATTGCTTCCCAGACGCGAACTGCAAGTCGTGCCAATCGCGAAAAGATATGGTGGTGGCTTGCACAAGTTGTACTCTGTATGGCTTGGTTTATTTAAACCTGGATGCGACCTCCTCTTTGAGAAAGACAGTGAATTCCAGAGTTCTCTTGAATCATCCATCTTTCAACCCAGTCTGTGCTAATTGACTCTCATTTTGCCAAACCAACTCGTCAATTCGACAACTTACCAATTGAACCATCTATCGTGGTTGCTTTTCGAAAACATGAAGATTAATTCTATCGTGATTGCCATCACCACAGTGCTCGCAGGTTTCACCTCGGCACAGAATGGACTCCCAACCTGTGCAGTGAGTTTTGGATAAGCTTTTCTTCCCGTCGTTATACCAATCACCCTCATCTCTGGTTCAGCCGTGTGTCAATATGTTGTGCATCATGAAGCCAGCTTGCTGATATGAATATTCCATGTAGCAATCGTGTGTTACCCAGTACACGACAGGCTCTCAAATTGCTGGTTGCGCCAGCCTCGACATCGCCTGCATTTGCTCAAACTCTTCATTCCTGAGTGGCATCGCGTGTTGCTTGGCCGACGCTTGTGATTCCGAGGATGAGCAGACTGCAGTTACTTATGCTCAGAATCTATGTAGAACTTCGGGCGTAACCAATTTACCATCAGTAGTCTCGTGCGTATCGTCCGCTAGCTCGACCTCGTCCGGCGCAACAAGCAGTGCGACTGGAGCGACAGCCACAGCAACTTCAGGTTCAACTACAGCCTCGGGGACGGGCACAAGTTCGTCAAATACAGCAACTGGATCCTCAACTTCTGCGTCAGCTTCTGCCACAAGTAACGCGGGACTTCAAAATGAAATTGGTGCTGGAGCTGGCTTGCTTGGTGGATTGGCAGTAATAGTCGGTTTGTTGTAAGAGATTACACAGCATATGACAAAGGGGTGTGGGCGGGATTGCTTCTGATCCTGCAATCATGATACGTTGACATACGGGGTCCAGTCTAGGGTTGTGGAGCATAATCCGGTGGTGATATTAGATAATTGGTACCTGAGACCAAAGCACTTGCTTCCCGGAAGACAACTGGGGCTTTTCAGGGATAGGAAGAAGGCTGCCGAGTTAGTTCACTTCTAGTTGTCCACACATAATACATCATTGTCATGCTTCCAGAAGCTGAATAAATTAATAATGCTCATGTCAATTCGCAAAAGAAAGAACCATTTTCTCTTCAAGGTTGTCGAAACATGATCACGGATAGAGAAATTTCGAGATCGTCTAGATAAAATGTCCTATAGCTTTCGGAATCCCCCCCCCGCCGCCCTTCCCGACATTGACATCGAGATTCAAATCTCTTACATAAGTAGGGCACTTTCAATGTTCTCACTTCAAAACCCGGAAGTTCGTTGCACCTTGCAATGCTGGGATTAGATTCTTCAACCAGACCGGCGGGTCCATAATATCAGTCGTTCGAACGGCTTCTTTGCCGAAATGACCAGGAACATCGTGAGAATATTTATTCCCGGGGATTGAATTGATTCTGGAGTCTAGACCTGGGGAAATAACCTTGGAGGCTCGGTTCTGTAATCTTGCATGAAGCGTACTGTCCTCGATTGAAGCGATCTGAAAGAGTGAGACGATGATGAGAGGGACGTGTGTGTTTTTGGTATAGAGAACATTAGATGACTTTCGGTATATGCTGGTGCTGATACATTCCGTGAATTAAAGAATACTCTAATACATACATACTGCTTAACTGTGGACGGGGGAGAGTAGCCGATATGCCAGCCTTTCCAAACTGTCAAAGTCCTTGTGCCACATAGATGAATTCCCCGATGATTGCAAAATTTGATCGTGCTGGGGTAAGATTGACATGTCACTGTTGTCAGGTCCCCTGTTTCCCGAATGCGAGCTTGGTATTGGTAGTGCTGGGAGACAGCTGTCCTTGAATCCATAATTCCTTATACATATCAGACGAGAATCCGCTTTGACCTGTAAATAAATCCATTTAAGTGAACATGATGTAGTTTCAGCTTGGACCTCTTTTTTTATCCAACGGTGAGATGAAGCAACGCAAAGGACCTAGGTGAGGACGGGTAGTAAAAGTATCACCGATGAGGTTACTTAGCTCCTTGGGTCTTTTTCATGTCCTATGTATCTCTATTCAAAATGATCGCATGTGACCTGGAGCTGGTTTCGACACTTGCTATTTTTACACTTTCAAAAAAACCTCGGGAATCATTACAAGTGGACAGTTTTGAGGACATTTTCTTATCATACATTTACTTCTTCCCTTGGCATTCTTTGAAATCATGTCCCGAGAAATTAGTAGCAGCAAGACAGCAACCATCCCATGGCCCCGTATATGAAATTTGGTTCCACAAGCCCTCCTTACACTTTTGCAATTATATCGCCGGCGAGCCGTTTACATGGGTAGATGTGTTCCTTGGGGCTCGGGGTAGAAATAGATAGGATCCATAGGGCACAGACTTGCTTGCATTGAGCAAATAATTGCTTTTCCCTTCAATATCTCGGATCCCCTTCATCAAATCGATTTGAGATTTGGTGGTAGCATGATGTGTGAGATCTGAGCAGATCGTGATCGAAGAGCATGGTAGAAAATACGCAAATAGGAGGTTTTGGCGAGATAAGATAGGGATGCGTGCTTGGATCTAGTGCAGTACGGACGACTTCTGGAATACATTACTGAATCTACCACCCGATAGGACGTCCTGTTTGAATAATCCCCGATTTTCAATGTCCTTGTAATTCCTTGTAGGGTATATGTTTGAGCGGTACTAGATGTCTAGGGGTGTACTACGAAAGGATTTACAAAAGGCTAAAGTGACATTCAGCTAGCTTTGTGGGAGATGAACAACCGCATTACCATATTTGATCATTATCAATGTTTTTCTCAAGCATTGAAGGTATTAGCTAGATGCTTTTGTCGTACAGATATCTGTATTCGTCAGCCTTTCTAGCTCTTTCAGTCCTTGTAAGACTTTCTATAATGGGAAGTTCTCAGAATCTATCTAGGTATTGATGTATGCCGATGTATTGACTCTCAGAAAGGGAACTTGTTTCTTTCGTACAATATGCCTTTTGCTTTTCATCACCCCCAAAGCTCAAAGCCCTCATGCCTACATATACACATATATGCATACCTAGTACATGTACATATACATCGAATCGTTATTGAGAATTGATTATTGACATGGTACCACCAGGATTAGATCCAAGAAATCACGGACCTTGCGCTACTTTTTTTTCAACGCCATGTCACGGACACACATCTCTCAAGCTGCGACCTTCACTCAAAAATTCCCAAAATGCTTCGCACAACACCGCACCAGTTAATTTATCTAACAAACACAACCAAATCTCACACGGGCATACCCTGTCCAGTTTCCACGTCTCTTAAATCGGAACCTCCCACATGATCCACATTTCTAACAGCCCCCAGTGCCCATGAACTATGGATGGTAGGTGCAAAGTCCCAATATTGCCTTTGATACATACCAGACAGTGGCCTTACCCACGCTCATCTGCCCGGTACCCGGTACGGATGCTCGTTGAATATCTTTTTTGCCTGTGGATGTTTGGGTACGCAGCGCACCATCCCACCAGGGGTTACGGGTGTTAAAGCTTTGATTCAAATGACATACCGAGCCCTCCCCGCTGGCAGCGCATATCATCCGTTCGCATCCGCAACTGTATAGTAGGTATATTGTATCATCATTCGTTTCTTTTTTCACCTCTTGACTCTCGAGTTTGTATCTATCTATCGTGTACAGGTTATAATATCACAGTTGTACTCGAGATCTAGCACAGTCACCGATTTGTCTCTGCTCAGACACCATTTTGATATTGGTGGCTAGAACTTTCCCTTACTTTTCTCATTAATTACCTTTCCGTGACGCCTTCATACTTGTTTACATTCTGTTGCTTTTTCAAACAGTGTTACAGGGAAGGTTCAGGTGATATATCCACATCTATTCTTTTCATTATATTTCAGCCTCAAAAAGTTTCGGCAGTGGATATATAAAGGTATGAGACTCTCCCTGACTCGTACTTGTCCGATATCAACTTCACATTCGCATTTCAACTCGAGCTTCATTGAAGTTATACCTCACGCCACTATTTCCCCCTAGCCCCAACTAGTACGTATACTACCTACCCCTCCAACCCCTTTCGCCATACTGACCTATACCTAAGTCCATCCTCAAAATATATCATTCTCTTTAGCACAATGTGCGAATACACAAGGAACTACTACATCTACACTTCGTGTATCGATCCTGGAGCTCACTACTTCTCGACCTCCATCGACGGAAGCAAAGAACGCCAATGTGCAAAAGGGCCCCATGAGCGATACATTGTCGTGCCCGGGCATTGCCCTTTATGCTCATAAATACCGTCATCGTCACCAATCTTCCGGAATCTCTATGAGGTTCTACAGATCATATTCGACTTCACGTACCATGATTGACACTTTTATTTCGCGTTTGACCTTGCACCAATACCCCCAACATCACATGGAAGGATTCTGGACGATTTTCTTCCGAAACAAACTCCGGGCATCAACATAGCACTTTAGCGAATCGGTGTAATTCTTTATTAGGCGAGCTTTTTTTGAGCAGGGTGTTCGGGAAAAGCTATGGGATGGGTTTCATGATTTTGGGGATATATATTTGTTATCAATGGAGTTTTATTGGTCAATTTTGCTTCTCTTGTATCGTCAACGGCTGGGAAAAAACATGGAAAGAGCTGGATCTCGGGTATTTGCAAAAGCAAGGGATGAAGGAGTATATTTAGCGATCAACAGCATGGAAGTTTTATTCATTGAAAAGCAAGGGAAAGGTTCAGCTTCGGTGCATACACAGATACACAATTTATGATTACAGGCTTCATCCAAGTCTCCATTCATATTCAAATATAATTTTTCAATCAATCTACTTTTCCCTCTTGTCTCTGGCTTATTTCCATCTTCAAAAGTCCAAATTTCTGGTGGGCGATATTTTCTTTCGATAGTTCTAGTCGAGTACCTTACATTAGTGTCCGCATATGTGGGTGTCTATGAGCCAGTTATACAGCATGATATCTGTTCAAGCCACGAACGCTGCGACGATCCTCGCATACTAAAGCAAAGGGCGGGAAGATCAAGCCGAATTATATGTAGAAGTATTGATAATCACATGGGTGATATCTTTGGGGGTGCAAAAAGGAATCAATGAGTTCCTCAAAAATACGACCTATCTCCTTTTAGTCATTTCGGTACCGAACACCACCTTTTCCGCACGATTAGGGTCGTACCTATTGGCTGTTTCTTCTTTCCCGATCAGTACGATGAAGCTTTGGCAGTCTTCTGGACACAGCTTCATCTTCGTGGCGTGGACTAGCTTGATATCAAGCTCACATCCTCCTCACATGAAGATTTTTCTTCTCCAAATATGGGGACCCCCTTTGAACTCTTAGGGTAATTGGGGGACCCACGGGGATAAAATCTGACAAATCGAAACTTAGAAAGAGAGTTTTTTTGCTTTTTAACTCCCCGATAGTGATGAGAAGGTTATTTCTCAGCTGAAACGTAAATGTGAGGAATGTATGTATGTAATATGTATGTAATATGTATGTATGTACTGTATATGGTGAGATAACCGAGTTCTTCAGCCGTGGATTTGGAACGAGGAAGAGGAAGCGGGAGGCTGAAAAGAATGGATGGATGGAGAGACAGGGGATGGAAGATCCCCCACCTCAACTTTTCTGGATGGATGTGGGGGTTTGGCGGATAAATATTTACTAGGTGTGGATATCAAAATTACATACGGAGGTAGTACGTATGTTGCATGGATTTTTAAATCGCTCAAAGGTATTCTTCTATATTGCGGGCATGATGTATCCGTCGTAAGGTTACTATCGTGGCTTCAACATGTATGATGCGAGCATTGCAATGGAGAGTGTGCACGGGGTTGGACTCGTGCCAGTGCGACTTGTATGAAGATTATTCGAAACGGCATATGGGTCTGCACCATCTCGAAGTTGTTTGAGGGGTATGCTATACATACTTAGGTACTTCGTATGATCGTATCTCATTCTATGTGGATATGAATGTGTACTGTAGTGTTGATGAGTTTGATCCAGGACGGCTCAAGTGTTCTCGCCTTCCTCAGACCTCGGGTGGAGGGAATTCAAGGATGCATTGTTGACTTGGTGACTGGTATGATACATCATTATACTTTTTTCCACGTCAAAGCAAGGATGTCTCCAAGCGCAATCTTATTAAAGTGCATCATTCTATCACGGATGTGGCTCAATAGTTGCGTCGATGATAAGTTGTGAGAAGCTAGAACATTCATTGATGCTTGGTCCCCTTCAAGGCCGTTAAGAAAGACATTTTGTCCACAAACTCTATTCAACACTGCTAAGCACTTGTGATGCTACCGGTACCGAGCCCTTCTAGTTAAGAGCAACGTCTGTGCATCAGCGTTTTATCAGGAAAAAGAGCCGACGAAGCGAATCCTATGGTTTGATCCTGACAGACAAGCTCTTTGCTACAGAAATCTGCTAGAAATGTTCGATTGATTACAAAAATGGGCAATCTCCGAAGCTACCGAGGCAGGGATAGCGCATTTGCTTTGACATCGGCATATACAAAAGTTGAACTTGGCAGGCAGTAGTCCTTCTAGTTACATATCATCCAGTGATGCCGATCCGTGTAATCAGATATTCGAGCCGCATCTAAAAACCTTATGGTGATTCACTTCAAATTTTTGCCTGTCTCCTGTCTAGTTCTATCGCCACAAGCGAGTAAACGCCCACTCAACTCGTAATTTGCCATCTTAGCGTGATGCCAAACGCTTTGAAGTTTGAACAGGTGCTAGCCTTGAACTCAACAGGGCTTCCACTTGTACCTCGAAACTTTAATTGAACCCCGAAGTCTAGACACGGGACGATACACATTTCGAAGTCCAGCCGTTCGCGACGGTTTGTTCCATACCGTGACGGTGGGTTTGTCCCGCAATTGACCCCTCAAATCATCGGTTTCTGATGCTGGGTGCACCTTCTTATTGCGGAACTTGTTCCGACGCTTTCTTGTGAAGCTATCTTGGTCTGGATGAAAATGCATACACACCGAAATCACCGAAATCAATGAATCTTCAAAAAGATTTCTTTTCACATGAAGATTTTGTCAACAAACCTTTGTCGAATTTAACAAAACTTGACACATATATCGAGTGTTAATTTTCGAATCATTTTATGTTTGTTTTTGAATAGGAATATTTATTGGCTAATCAATAATAGAATTTTGAAGATGGTATTTGGTTCAAATGTGCACATAATCTCGGCCACGCCGAAGCTATCAGTCATAGCCCTGCATCACCATCATGTCTCCGCGGATGTATCACTGCTTGTGCGGCCCAAAAGTATGTAATTCGACGCTAAGAAAACTTGGTCAGTCCTCTTGTAGACTATAGTTCAACGTCTTATTTCCATCTAACTTCAGAGTCGCATACTCTCCTGGCCACCCAAGTATGCCGTGGCGTGGTGTAACTCTCCTGAAGCTAATTGCAGCAAACACACTCGTCTACAAATGTCAATGCAAAGCAAGTAACTTGACGACATCGCGCAGAATGTTTGATGCAATACAGGCAATATCTTGAGATTCATTATGACAAGGCTCATTGATCAATTGAGGGTCCCATTTTCGTTAAGAGATCCGATTATCCGAAATGACACATCTAATATAAGGGCTGATTTTCAATATTTGAAAAGCTAGGATTTGTTTGAGCATATTTCACCCCAAAAGTCCACCATCGGCTTGCAATAGGCATTTCCATTCACTTGGGCGGGGGATAGAAAGGACCAGTGTCCCCTCAATCTAGAGGTACTTAAGATTTCAACACGAAGCCCCAGTGGGGGTATATATAGAGGCTGCATGGCAAAGACTCGGAAGCAATTGCAAATAAAACTCTATAGAGGTTGAGTTTCGGAGAAATTCGGAGGGCATTGAATCTTGAGAACAGTTTTGAGACATCCCCACAGAAGAACGAGAATTGCGGTTTGCGTGGAGGTCTCGAAGCAGATTCAAGGAGGCAGGATGGCGAACATTGAACAAATCTGCAGATATATGATTTCTTGTGATAAAAGAACAAGTTTGAATATCATTTCCAAGCTAGTGCTGATTGAGAAACTATAACCCTCTTTACGTCAATAAAAACAAAAAATAAGGGCTGAAAACTTTCTCAAGCTGAGTTGCTTCACTTGGCAATACTAGTTATCAATGTCAGATCAGAGACCTCGAGGTCATGCGTATTTACCATCCACATAATCCCATCATGCCACGTATCAGGACATATCTCCCTTTCCTTTCCTCTCCTTTCCCACCTTTCCACCTTTCCACCTTTCTTTTTCCGCTAGAAATTGCAGAGAAAATGTTCTCTATAACGCCGTGCCGGTAACCGAGCCGTCTCAACAACGCCCGTCCTGACTCTTGGCTGAAGAAAGCAAATGAGGTACGTCAGCTGAGTTTTCCACACATCCAGAAGATACGATATCTACCCGCGCTCTCCCAACACAAAAGAAGCATATATACTGTGTACAGCTTCAAAATTTGTGGCTGTTGGGCGGGAATGTGGACACCGAGGCTTTGCGTCTTCTAGCCACGCATCAAATCTCCCAAAACATTCATGTGTCGTCTTGAATGCTAGTACACCACCTCATCTCACCTTAATCGTATCACCATCTATTCAAACACCAGTGACAATATCCAACAACCCCAGCACCCAACCAGCCCAATCATGACAGTTACGTTACACAACTCTACATCGAGTGTATCAATATCAACCCCGAGTACAACACCCCATGTGGCTGGAGCAGCGGCAAGTTTGCCCTACGATGCACAAATCAACACAACTCATTATTGTTAAACCTCGAACTTCTCAGAATAAATCATATTGGGATCATGGGGTGGAAGATCAGATGACACTTTGACTTCTTTAACTCGCCGAGTGCATAGTTCGCGATGATGAATTAGGTACATCTTCATCTTTTGACTCTTCGGGAGAATCGCGTCATGCATCAAACAGAAAAGAAACTTTATTGCTCATGCAAGCCCAAATTCAAAAGAGAGAAAGGATACAACTGTGAAGCAAGAAGTTATATATTATTTGGTCCAAATGTGACAGGGATCGTCATGAGCGGGATATTATTGCACTGCGCTGAAACACATTTCGTATCTGACGCAGAATCCTTTATCTGGGAGTTGAAAATTGCATAGGGCTTTCGACGAAGAAGTGTTTACAATCTTAATGCCTCTGCGTCTTACTCATCTACCAGCCCAAAAGTCGAAGCTGCATTCCGATATTGAGAAGCTTTGAATTTCTGAATTCCATTAAATACTTCAGATGGTTTAACACTGTCTTCACTTTGAATATTACATTGCTTTCTGCCAGTCCAGTCTATTGGAAACCTTGATATTGATATTTTTACATCAAAAATTTCAGTACGTAGTTTAGAGCTACTTAAAGCTCACTCTTTACTTGAGTATTTGCCTCCACCCAGGCCTTGACATCCTCTCTATCTCTCTCAA